CACCCTGCCCCCGCCCCGCCCCGCCAAGCAGAAAGCAGGAATTTCCCATGCAACCCTGGGAGCCCGCAGCAAGGGCGGAGACGGGCACTCCGGGAATTCTCAATTCTCCCGAAACAACCCCCCACGTTCGAGGAAGCCTTGGCCTTGTAGGAGGGGGTGAGAAGGGTAACCGTCCCAGCCTCTCCTGTGAGCAGGGGTCTGGAACCCGCCTGATCCTCCCCTCTGCCTGGGGCTGGGGAGTGGCTGTCCCTTCCGCGATGTCAGGCCCTGGGGGTTTTGGCCAAATTCCAGGTGGGAGGAGACGCTGTGGCTGCACTGGGTGCCTGGCTGGAGGGTAGCTGTGGCATGGCTGGACCCCGGACCCAGCCCAGGCCCCGCCAGGGCATGGATGGCTGCTCTCAGGACAATGCGTTCAGCATCCAGGCTCAGCTCCGTCAGAGCCCATGGGCTGGAGAGTAGCCAGGCGGGCGGCTGTGCCAACCGCTGGGGGCAGGGAAGAGGCATAAAGCCCCTGGCCACCCTGTGGCACTGGGGACAGGGGCCTGGAAGTGGCCAGGTCTGAGTGCCCCTCACCGGAGGAAGGGCTGAGGCATCTTCAGTGTGGTACCAGGAGCCGAGGAGCATAAACCAAGATGGGGAGTCCAGATGGAGCCAGGACAAGGCCCAGCCACTGGGGAAGGTCTCCACGTTTCTGCCCTGTGCTGCCAGAATGGAACACTGCGCCCTCTAGTGGGAACCCGAGGAGTGGCGCATAGAAAAGTCGGGGCGCAGGGGAGGGGAAGAGCCGCAAGGGCCCCTGGCTGAAAGGGCAGAGCCTGGACCATGAAGACGACAGGGGCGAGTCGGTCATCACTAAAACCTTCGCCAGAACGCCTGGGCAGGGATTCTATCCCTGGGCCACACCCCAGGCCAAGGCAGGCCTGTCCACAAAAGCCTGTCCATCACCCTATGGACAAAAGCTGGAAACAGCCACGCTGAGCCCCCTTGCTCTGACCACAGCCCCCAAACCCTCCTGCGCATCTCAGTCCAGTCCTGAGTTGCCAGAGACCTCTGCTACACCCGCCCTTCACCAGCTTCCCCATTCTCTGCCCAGGACCCCTCCTCTGGTCCCCTGCCCCCTTCCCTCCACGGCCACACCCTCTGCTCTCAGGGCTGACCCCTCCTGCGCTTCCCAGGCTCCACAGACCCAGGCAGCTCTGGGTTCTCAGGCCTGCTGTTGGTATTTTCAGGGTTCCAGGTTCAACTTTCCCCCAGGGCTCTGTCCCCCATGGATCCCGCCCTCACTTGACCCTGGCCAGGACCCTGGCCCCGGAATGCCTCCCACCCTCCTTACCTCCCCACAGCCTGGCGTTCTTACTGCCTCCCCATCTGGGTGGGCACCACCACCCAAACCAGGGACCACGCTGCCCACCCCCATCCCTCCCTCCTCCTCAGAAACATCCCAGGGCCCCACCTCCCACCATCCCCCTCAGGAGGAGGGCCCACCCCGACTAGCAGCCAGGCCCAGGGGCATTGGCTGGGGGCACGCATGGGTCGGAGAAAGGGACCCCGGTCTGGGATTTGCATCCATCCCCCAAGCAGAGACAATCCTGCAATCCTCAAACCGTTTACTGACAGCACAAGGCTCAGCAGCAGGTGAGCCACGTGAGGGGCGAGGGCTTGTGAGGCAGCGTGGGCAGCAGGCAGGAGATCCCGGAGGGAAGCCCTCTGCCAGGGACACGGTGAGGGCGTGGCCATCACCCACAAAGGGAGCATAAATAACACTGGCAGGTGGGTGGGCAGCAGGAGAGGGAAGGAGAACAGACAGTGCCGCAGGGACACGCAGGGCTGGCGGGAAAATGCTGGGACAGGGTCACACGGGGATTCGGAGGCACAGACACAGAAGGGGTCATGGGACGCCCAGAGGACGCCAGAGGGGGCAGACACACCACAGACTCAGGGATGGGCATGGCGCTCTGCCCGTGGCTGCCCCTCCTCCAATACTCGCCCTGGGCTTGCAGGCAGGACTGGGTGGCTGAGCACTCTTTCAGCAGAGCCAAGCAGCGGGCCCCCACAGGGTCTGGGGCGCAGGTGAGCCCACATCATGAGAGCCACTGTGGCCTAGGGCTGGACCTTGCCTTCGGGGTCCCGGTCATAGATGTAGCTGCCCACCGCGCCGGTGTTCACGCCTGTGGAGGGAGGCCACTGGGTGGGTGGGAGGAACAGTGGAGGGATGGGGAGGGCAGGGAAGACATGCGGACCACCCTGGCCACACTCACCCTTGGGTCCGAAGAGGATTCCATAGCAGGGCTTGTGGCAGTAGGGCTGGCCATCGTGCTGAGGCAGAAGGTGGGTGCTGAGGGAGGGGTCCACAGACTCCCCCGACCCATCACCTGGAGGCTTCCAGAACGTGCAGGCCGGCTCCCAGAAGCACCTCCCACCCCCCCATCCCTTCCTGGCGCGCCTCTCACCCTCATACCCCCGTGCCCCTGCCCGGCCCCCAAGCCCCGTCGCGCTCCCCTCACCTCTGCGTGCCCGCCGGGGGTCAGTGTCTTCCCGCAGCGCTCGCAGCGCAGGCAGGGCCGGTGCCAATCCTTACCCAGAGACGTCACCTTCTCAGCTGGGAAGGGGGAGGAGTGAGGCGGAG